GCAGCTATACCTCAGATTATAAAATTGCACCAGGGCTTAAATTAAAGGTTCGTCTATCTTGACATGGAATAGGTGTGCGATATCACCGTATTGCTTGTAAAACTTCTATTTTTTGTCAGTTTTCCAACTATCCCAAATGTTCTACAACTCTTTGGTATCATTCTGTTTGAGGCTGATGGAAGCGTAGCCAGCCAGATCTGACACATAATTGTCTTGTATATTGTCCCCTTTTTTCTTCTGAGTCCTTTCTGACCATAGTGACCTCTTGCATTATAACCCTTTTGTCCATTAATGCCAACTATTCAGGTTTAAAGGAATACTTTTGTAGATCAATACCTCTTTAAATGATGCAAGTGATAAAGATGAAAATAAAACAAAAATGAAAGGAAACAAGTTAGTAAAATAGTAATAATAATTAAAATAAAATAAAAATTCCTACCCCATATACTTTTATTCCTACCCGGACATGATCCCACATGTAATTTTTTAGCAAATCCTAACCGCATATATTTTTAATTCACATGCTTTGAATAGAAAATAAAGCATGAAATAAATCAAAACATCCTAGGTTTTGAAATAGAGTTTTAGGGTGGGCTCTAATTCCTTGCAGCATCTCGGTTTGGTTCTAAAAGTGGTACTCGAGTTCTTCTTGTTGGTGCCCCTTTGGGCCTACCAGACCCTCAGTCCTAAGATCATCACAGGCTCTTTTGGACTGAGTTAAACTCGAGAGCATATATTTCCTTATGTCTGTACGGAGAATAAATTCATACGAAGACATAAGGTACATGAATCTCGAAGGTTACTTGCTAGGCATATATGAGGAATAAATTCCCACGAATGTTTCACTTTCACCCTACTTAAAAAGGGTTTGGAGCTCAAGAATAGAGCCTGAGATGAATGATTTTTGAAAAACAACTGAAATAATTGAAAAACATCAGTACAATTATTTATTCAAAAAATAATATTCAAAGATAAATAACAAGGATCAAAAGGACAAATTATAATTCATACTTACAATTTTAGCCTAATAAGACAACCAAAAATCAATTTTGGCCTAACTCTCTTACCTATTCCCAGTGGAGTCGCCAAGATGTCGTAACTGTCTTTCGGGTGGGCTCGGAATCAGGTTTCGACTTGAATTAATGTGTATTGGAGCAACCACTGATCATTTTAAATTAGGTTGATAGGACACCTTAACTTACCATTTATCTGATCTTTATTTTACTAGAAATTAATCAGATTCGAGAGTTCATTACGGTCAAGGAAGGATTAGCACCCTTGCATTGCCCTTTCGGCACCTATTTGATTTCCCTGTTATCTTAATTGCAAAAATTAAAAGTTAAATTAAAATTAAAAGTTTGATATGAATTTCTTACCTTTGACCAATTTAAAATTGCCTAAAAAAGTAAATTAATGTTAGAATAAAAAATGGCTAAATTAAAAATATAAAGAGAAATAGATAAAATAATGATAAGTTCAAAATATAAATATTAGAGAGGATTAAACTGAAATAAATCAAAATTTTTGGGGTCAATTTGACATTAAAGGTGAACTCCATGAAGAAATAGAAAGTTTAGGGTACCAAATTGCAAAATATAAAAAATATAAATAGGGGTTAAATTGAAATAATTCAAAACTCAAGGGTGGAATTACAACAGCTAACAAAAATGAACTTCGCATCAAACCTTCAAGGACTACGAAAATAATTAAAGTATTTATGGGGTATAAAACATCTATTTGTTGTCAATCGGTTACGATTTCATTGGGTTTTTGTCGTTGGGGAAGGGAAAGTCGGGTAGAGCTTCTTCGACGGTAAGGTGGTGGTTGGCATGGGTTTAGGGGGTTAAAATGAAGGTGTTAAAAGTTTTGGGGCTATTTTGAAATTTATGTTCTTTCTTTTAAAACAATATACATAATTTTATTTTTTAAAATTTATATAAAATTTAAAAATTATCATATTGTGACATGTGTCACTTAACGGAGGAATTTAATGTCGTTGACGGCTCGATCACCTAAAATGGTAATGTTTGCAACATTAGACACCAGAAAGTGCCAAAAAATATCATAGTCACCTATTCAGCACGAAATGTATAGTTTGGGCACTTATTTGGTAATTAAGCTAATTAAAAATTAGGGTTTTAAGATCTTGGCATATCAAACGTCTAAAATAGTAACGTTGAAAAAACTAGACACAATATTAATATAAAATATATAACTTAGGTATCTAAAATGTATAAGTTGTACAATTTAGGCATTTATTTTTTTAATTAATACATTAATGAGATATTATAATGCTCAATAATCGACTTTTCACTAGATCAATAATTGCATACATAATAATATCATTATGGAACAAAAAAAAAAAGAACAAGACGAATTCTTGTTTACCTCATGCACTGTGTGGGGCAATGGTGTAATTAGGGATGTAAAATCAGGTAATCGTTCGAGTTTCAGACCAATCTTGTTAGGTCAGGCCAAAGCAAATACATACGTATCAAGTCAATTTGATGGTTTGACTCGAATCAGGTAGGGTTTGGGTCAAATCAATTTGGGTCATTTTCAGGTTGATTTTACCATCAGATTCAGTTTGTGCTAAGATCGGTTTAATTTTAGTTCGAATTAATGTCAGTTCAGGTCAAAACAGTTCAAGTCTGAATCAGTTAAATTCCAGGTTAATTCAGGTTCAGATAGACTTCAGGTCAGATCTTGTTCAGATTGGATCACATCATTGACAGATAAAATTTAGGTTGGATCTTACCGGGTACGGATTGACTTCAGGATGGGTAATTTTTGGGTTAATTATTTTTTGTCTTTCATGAATGATGAATTGTAATTTTTAATTGTATATGATTTGAAGTAAATTACGAAAAAAGTAAATAACTATGACCCAATTTTAATGAAATTATAATTTTAAGGACTAAATTGAACAAACAAGAAATTATAAACAAAAATTTAAATAAATTAAATAACAAACATGTATTAGGGACTAAATCGAAATATAAATAAGTATGGGACAATTTCATATATAAATATAATTTTAAGAACAAATTTGAAGTAAATTACAAAATATATAAATAAGTATGAGCTAATTCCATATGCAAATATAATTTTAAGGTCTAAATTGAACAAATTAATATTTAAATAAATTACACAACACATAGGGACCAAATTCAAATAATTGTAAAATATGAAACTAATGTTAATATAAAAATGGATTGAATTGCATTCATATTAAAAGTTGAGGAAAAAATTAAAAATATTAAATATATATATATATATATATTATAGTATATATAATATAAGTATACATTATAGTTTTATATATGTGTATATATATATATGTGTGTGTGTGTGTGTGTATAATATATATAACTATATATTATACTTATATATGTATGTATAATATATATAACTATATATTATACTTATAAGATATACATTGCACTTATATATATAAGTACATATATATACATGTATAATATACATATACATTATATTTATAATGCACACATTATACTTAAATATATATATATATAACTATACATTATACTTATAAGTATATAATATAAGTATACATTATACTTATGCATATATATACTTATATATATAATAACACACACATATATGTATATAAAAATATCTATATAGGTATATATAAGTATATGTATACATAAGTATATATGTATAATGTATGTATGTATGTATGTATATATATGTATATCATTAAACACAAGTGACTAAAATAAAAGATTCTAAAATTAATATTCACATTTAATACTTGTGCACGTTAAAGAGAGAAGAGAAAATTAAAAGTAAATAGAATGTATACAATACTAAACTGCATTGAATTGAAAAAATTAAGAAAATATTTATAATTAAACCATGACTGAAATGAAGAAAATTAAAACTAAATTAAAAAATAGAAAATCTCTAATTGTTAGAGGATCGCATCCTTAATTAATCCAAAAATCTATTTTGGAGCCGTACTTGTGTACATACATGCAAAATCAAAATTTCCCCTTTCTTTTAAAAAGTTCTCTAATCACACATGTGAATATATATATATACACAGACACACAAATACATGAGTATACTATTTATTTAAATTCATACTTAAATTTTAAAATTTTAAATTTTCGATCTCAAGTAAATTCATTTATATATATATATATATTAAAGTTTTAAGTTAATTTATATTTAAATTATTAATTAATTCGTACATAAAAAATTGAATTTATAAATATTTAAATTAATTTTATATAATTTAATAAAATCATGTTAAATAAATAAATTATTTAATGAAATTAATTTAATGATTATAATTAAGATTTATAATATAAGGATTATAATTAATATAGAAAATAAATTTATTACTTTAATTACCATAACTAACAATTTGTTTTAATTTATAAAGAGTAATCATATTAATTATCATAGTTTATTTAATTGTCAAAAAATTATCATAACTAATTATTTGTAAAATTATCATAAATAACAATTTGTTTTAACTTTTAAAAAGTAATCATATTAATTATCATAGTTTATTATAAATTCAAGATCTCACAACTTTATCAATTGTAACTTATAAGTCAAGTGAATATTAGTTCAGTTTAATAACAGGTTGGATCATTTACAGGTTGAGTCAATTACAGATTAGGTTTATAAGAGGTCAGGTTGATAATAGGTCGGGTATATCAGTTATTTATCGGTTAATCTCGGGTTCATATCAGGGCGGATATAGGTCAGGTTCGGTTATCACATTATGAGGTTTAATTCAGGTTTAGGTGTAAACCCTAGAACAACATGACACACAGTCGATCGATGTAGGATGCCACATGAAACCATTTAAGTGGCTGACCAACACCTTACTCTTTTGTTGTACTATAAAATGACCATTTCCACTAACAAAACATCCATGAAATAATATAATTTAAAACTTTATACTGGGGAGCTCCCAAAATAAATATTTACAATCAAAATATTACAGACTGACTCTTAATAAAATTTACTACTCAACTGATACATCAGGGTTTATAAAATATACATGCCCTTAAAAACTGCTAAGACGTACTCTAAATTTGCACTGGGTCTGGACCTTGATCTATATGCTGCTCCTCGAACTCTCGATCTACGGACCTGCTTGAAGGCTGAACTAGTTAACAACTAAGACATACTAAAAGTTTGTCACTGAAATACTCAAGCTATCAAATCTACTGCTATATGGTCTACTTGTTTGTTATGTTCTCCTTTAGTGAGTATACTTGTATACTCACTCTCTATTCTATGGTAGAAATTATGGTGTAAATGAGGGTTCTGCATCTCGGAGCTCACACACCCCTCTAGTCTACCGAGAATATGGTCCCCAGAATCTCTGCATCGGACACCACACTCTCGACTAGCCCACTCCTTGAGTGTCAGACCTTGCGCCCAAACTAGTCAGCTTAAAGTGCCTTGCGCACTCCTTAAGGATATCCAGACTGAATCTATACTTTTGACTCTGCTATCTTTACTAAAGGAACTCAGGTGTCCTGATCGTTTTCCCGAGCATTTAAACAAGGCTAGTCTTATTTCACCCTACTTTATTCTCATTTCTACATTTGAATTAAACATCATTAATGTTCTCACTTGAATTCTTATGTGAGGAAATACTGAAGTGTTCGGGTAACTTTAGTATAATTCCCTTAAAAATTGACCTTTTTGCCCAAAACACACTGAAAGTATCGATACTAGCCTAGGAGTATAAACACTCCTACAAAAGTTTCGATACTTTATATATGTATTAATACTTTTAAACATTCTATTTTGCCCAGTTTCAAAACTTTCTAGGAGTTTTGAAACTATGACCAAATGTTTCGACACTCTTAAAAGAGTATCAATACTCTTGCCCAGAAACTCACAAATTTGCCCAAAACAAAGAACAAGTATCAATACTACCCTATAGTATCGATACTCTACCTACAAAAGTCATAATACATATATGAAAAATGATATATTTCAATCCCAAAGAGCCTAGTGAGGTCCCCAAACATTCTTTAAAATCTTATTTGATTACAAGGAACATAAATAAGGCTTTATATCATGCTTATAACCGAAATCATGTAATCTACCATTAGCATATAACACTAAGCTTCATAACTTACTCTCATGCTAGAACTCTTCTAATGATCACTAGGAGTATGAAAGAGTTGATAGTGTGTTACCTTGCTTCTTGCTTGCTAGAAACTCTCTCAAGTTAACCAAGGGACAACTTCTCTTTCCCTCTTCCTTTATAGTTTTCTCCCACCTTCATTACTAAACAAAGTGTCGAAATGATTTTTCTATTAAAAAACAAATTTAATTTTTAAAATCTATTTTTAAAAGATATCGTCTCGAATAATCTAATGACCTGTTAATAATAAAATGTGATTCGAGGAGTCACCATTAACCTTTGATTAGGGTGTGATTGGGCACCCATAAATGTATTTTTCATTTTAATAAAAATATTAATTTTAATAAAAACAACAAATTTATGGTCTCCATTACCAAAAAGTTGAGTTCAGGAGTCGGTTACGCGTAGGGAAGGATTAGCACCCCCGCAACGCCCTAAATCGGTACCTAGTCGATTAATTAGTTGTCTTTGCAATGAATTTAAGAATTTGAGTCTAATTTAATTTAAGACCCCATACAAGTAATATTCTTTGAATTTTAGGGTGAAACACAATAATATTTAATTATTTCCTATCGAGAAGAATCGACCTTCTATACCTTAGAGCACCCGATTCTTACTCCAATTGAAAAAAGAAAATATTATAATTACATCCTAAATTCATTATTAATTCAAAATAACAACACAAAATAATTCTAAGAGAAAAAATGATAACATCTAATTATTTCCAATCGAGAATAAATGACCTCTCATGCCTTAAAGCAATCATTTATTACTCCAATAGAAATGAAGGGTTATCACTATTTCTTCTTAAAATTCAATATTGATTCGACAGAAAATGATAATATCTAATTATTTTCAATCGAGAATAAATGACCTCTATTTCCTTAAAGCAGTCATTTATTACTACGATCAAAATGAAGAGATATCACTATTTCTTCTTAAAAATAAATATTGATTCGAGAGAAAACGATAATATCTAATTATTTCCAATCAAGAATAAATGACCTCTCATGCCTTAAAGCAGTCATTTATTACTCCAACCGAAATGAAAATATATTATTATTTTCAATATTAATTCAAGTGTTACTATTTTGAAACCCCATTGAAAAATACATGCAAAAATAAAACAAACTAAAAGCATACTTCAAGCAATTACAATTAATTATTTATTTTACCAACATTTAATGAGAATAAGGATGTTCAATTATTTAAATACATCTAGACGAGACCTTCGATTCGATCTAACAGTCTTTTCTCGGTGAACTTATTTAAAAGAACATGAATTTTTCTTAATCCCCAAATTTTAAAATAGATTCAATTTAATTCGTGTCACTTAATGGATAAACTTTCATTTTAAAATTATCGAAAGTAATTTTCTTATATGTTAAGGCAGTCACTTTACGACAATCTTAAAATGAACGAATATTACCCTTTGTCAAATTATTTTGATTCGAGTCAAGAAATGCTTATGAGGGTATCATGCAAATTAATAGAGAACAAAACTAATTAGTGACTAAGATGACTTAACATAAAAGCGATATGAAAAAATTAAAATAAAACAAAAGGCAAATATGACTAAAATATAAACCAAGAAATCATCATGTCAAAAATTAAAACAAAATAAAGTGCAAAAGTGACTAAAATGAACATTTTTAATATTAAGTGCTAAAATTATAGTAAAAAATAAATAAGTTACGGGACCAAAATGTAATCAGATAAAAAACATAGCCAAATAAGAAATAGACAATGACTAAAATGCATAAAATAAAGGAACAATAGCCAAATCAGAAATAAACAGTGACTAAAATGTCAGTGACCAATTTCTAATAAATGTCAAAACAAAACAGTGACCAAATTAAAATAAAATAAAAATAATGATAAAAGTGTAATAAATTAGGAAAGGGTGGTTCAATGACCAAAATGCGAAAACACAACAAACATAGGGAGACCTAAAAGAAAATAAGCCAAAAAGTTAATACTTAAAAATAAAAATGGAAAATAGAAAAATAAGGACGTTAAATTTAAAATAAAAACAAAAAGGACACAACATGGTGACCAAAATGAACCCAGGTAAACCAGCGAGGACCACACGTGTGATAATACCAAGAGAGCTAAAACACACGGGTATAGGGCAAAACGACGTTGTTTTGCTTTGGGTATAAATACCCCTTATCTCATTTTCTTTTCTTTCTTCCCTCATTTTCTTTTTTTAGAGAGTAAAGCTTTCTTTTCTCTCTAAATTTCGACCCCTCACCGGCCGTTTTGGCCCTCGCCGACCGCTACATCGACCTTTGGCCACTAAATTTCACCAGAAGACTCACCTCGACCCCCTCATCTCAGATATAGGTCTATTTTTCGTGAAATGAGCTATAGTATCATGAAAATGACCGAGACTCTTCGACTTTCTAAGGCCTCAATCGTTACCGTCCGCCGTTGGATTGGGTCGATCTCGAGGTATGACGCTTACCTTTTCCCGATGTTGTTCTTCATAATATGGATTAGAGAATAGAAGTCCCTAATACCAATGGATAGCTCAGCCGAAGGTAACATCTTCTCTCTTGTTCTTTTTTTTATTATTGCTAAAAAAATGTATTATATTTCGAATGAAAAAAAAATAAAGTCATTTTGATTTTTTTTTGTTTTTAATTGCCTTCGAAAAATGGAGAGATACACATTTTACATTTTTTTTTCGGATATCTCTTTTTCTAAAAACCAGAAGAAAATTTTTAAAAATATACTTTTTTATTGCTGCCTTCACTTTTTTCGGGGAATGAGAAATCCCTTTTACATCTTTCTTGGGGGGTTTTTATAACCCCTGTTACATTCATGAAAACAAAATAAAAATGATTGTTGGCGTGTTAGAGCAGCAATAATAACCGACGTGGTTGGTGGAGATGACGGTTGCAGGGGATTGGTGCAGAAAATGTGACTGGGAGGGGAGCGATTGATTGAGGTGATGTTTCTTGGATTTTCAGGATTTTTTTTTCATTTTTAATGGGTCTGAGTTTTTTCTATTAATGTGAGCTGATGATGATGATATGTTGACATGGCAGAGGCCGGACAATAAAAACTGGTGGTCAGAACAGTGGTAACGGCGCAATCTTCTTGGTTGGCAATGGAGGCGACAATATGAGAAGTTAGGCTTTGAACAAACCCTAACCTTAGTTAACTTGGGTATACTATTTGAGTTTTGAGTCTGATTTGTTGTTGGGCTTCGGGAGTAAATATGGGCCCGGTTGGGTTGTAAATTTGGCTTGTAAATAAAATAAAATAAAAATAAAACTAAAACTAAAGTAAATAATAATAATAATAATAATAATAATAATAATACTAGTATGATTTTCAAGCAAAGACGGGTGTTGACAGCTGCCTCTCTTTGCTCATGCTTGTGTTAACAAGAATAGGGTAAAGACGAAGAGACTACTAGTTTTTGTCCGGTCGAATATGTGCTTGAAAATCTGATATTGTCTTAAGTGAGACTGGAAATGAACAACATGTCAAGAGAGATTCTTGAAGATCAAATCTGAAAAGGGATCTGCTCCACTATTGTTTTAGGGTAAATTAGATCTGGAAACGTTGATTCATTCCACTGTTCTTCAGGGAAGATTGAATCAAGGCAGACCTGTTCCCGGGTTCCTCAGGGAAGATAAAATATGTTCAACTGTTTCTAAGGGAAGATCTAATCTGGAAATAAGAGGGATATGTTCCGCTGCTTCTTTAGGCAAAATTAGATCTGGAAATGTTTATTAATTCCACTGTTATTCAGGGAAGATTTAATCGAGGCAGACTTGTTCCACTGTTCCTTAGGAAAAATCAAATATGGAAAAAATAGGGATTTGTTCCGCTGCTTCTTCAGGGAAAAT